AGGATGGATGGGAGGATTGAGGATATTGATGCTCATGATGCACTCTACCTCATCACCAGATGCCTGTCCTTCACCAGGTTAACCTACTTTCTGAGGTATTCACCATCCTACAGTAGCCAAAAACAAGAAAGTATGACCTGTTACTAAAATCAATGCTAGAAAAAGCCCCCAACCTCTCTTTTGATGACCTACGGTGGAAACAAGCCTCTTTTCCCATAAAAATTGGGGGGCCTCGGAGTTCAAACAACAACGCAAATCGCTGTACCAGCCTTCTTGTCGTCCTCGGCATCCGACGACCTAGTGAAGGAAATTCTACCTGCCTTCTTACATCTGCTGGCAGGTGTACATGATCCCAATTTTATACGCTGTGCCACAGAGTGGGCCTCTCGTGCAGGCCCATCACCTCAACCACCATCCCCAAAAGCCCACAAGCAATCCAGCTGGGATGGCCCCATTGTAGACCAAGTTGCTGCAGAGTGCCTGGGTGCTGCAACAACACAATACGACATTGCTCGCCTCACAGCAGTAGCAGCCCCACATGCAGGGGATTTCCTGTTAGCAACCCCAATGTCGGCAATTGGCACGTGTCTCACACCACACGCCCTCTGAATTGCTGTAGCCCTCCACCTTGCTGCCCCAATCCACACCAAATATAGATGTATTTGCGGCGAGCTGGTGGCCGACAGGTACAGCCACCATGGCCTACTCTGTCAAAGCACAGGGGGATGGCACTCAAGGCACAGTGAAGTTAACGACATCATCAATAGGAGCCTCACCACAGCTGGATGCCCAGCTGAAAGAGAGCCTCGTTACCTAACTCCCCCTAACTCTGATGCTCTTATTGGTTGCCCAGATGGTATCACAGTGAATCCCCGAGAAGAATGGCAACAAGTTGGAATGGGACTACACACATATCGACCCTGGCTAACACATTGACTTCAGTGTTACATAACCGGGTGGCGCTGCCACTCACAGGGAATCAACCAAATCCCGTAAGTACAGAGAACTGGATCACCACTACAATTTTGTCCTCATTGCTTCTCAGACACTCGGTGCCTGGGGTAAGAGTGTCACCAGTTTTTTAAGGAACTGGGTTCTAGGTTAATTGAAACAACAAGATACCCTAGAGCTACCAACTTCCTTTTCCAGCACCTCAGCGTGGCGATACAGAGGGGAAATGCACACTGCATTCAGAATCCTGCCCGCCATCTGAGGAGCTGGCGAAACTCGACAACTTATGATAGTCATCTTTGTACCATATATGTAACTCCTTTTTTGTAACCAAGTTTAAATAAAACAAACATACATGTATATATACAAAAGAATGGGGGTGGTAGAAGAAAATATTAAAGTGTTCAGTAAGAATCCACAAGGTCTTCTCTGAATACTCTTTGTTTTCTTCTCCAAGGCTATGGGTCTCCACACTCACACCAGAAGAGGTGGTACACTCACAACTATATATATATATTCTCTGTTCCACAAATATGTCGTTTGCACTTCCTCTCTGTTCCACAGATATGACACCCTTTAACTATTGGGTTTATTACCTCCCAGCAGCACTTGTAACCAAGTCTGAGTCTGTGTATGGCTACTGCAATATCTCTGGATATCTTTTTGCCTGGCTTGAAAGAGTAGTACCCAGTGGCTTGTTCGTACCACATCGCAGTGGATCTTCCTTCCGTTACTTTAGCTCTGTGGCGACTTTTGATAGTTGGGAGTATTTTCATCTTGATTTGCTCTTTAATCTGCGAGAAACTTGGAGGTATTTGAACCTGTACAACAGGTAGAGCAGTGGCAGTTTTTGCTAGTGAGTCTGCCTTGTCATTACCATCTATGCCAATGTGACTTGGTATCCAATTTAGGGTGATTGACAGCTCTAGATTGTGTGCTTCTTTTCCTATATGTAGGAATTCGGTGATGAGTTGTATATTATCTCTGTGCGGCTGGATAACAATGCCTGGAGCGAAGATTTAGAGTCGGTATGAATGATGACATCATGTTAATTATTCTTAATTTTATAATTTATGGCCTCCTTCAGGGCATATAATTCTGTTTGCAATGTTGAGCAACCACTATTCATGCTCCAGTAAGCTTCATGGTTGTTAGTGTAAACTGCTGCCCCAGCAGAACCTCTTTCTTGATCAACTGATCCGTTTGTGAAGATGTGAGTGGTTGTAGGTCTTGAGATGGTTTCCATTTATTGCTCTGTAACGGCTTTGAGCCTCTCTGAGTCACATGTTGATTTTTAAACTGGTAATCCTTCGATGATTATCTTTAGACTCGATTCTTCCAATGGTGCTGATAAGGACTATCTTCTCCTTTGTTTTAATGGTCCATTTCAAGTCTACTTTCTCTAGAATCTTGACCAGATTATCCGTTCATTCACTTGCTTTATATTGAAGGTTTCTGTGAAGCGATCTGTGTATGCTGCCTTTGATTGACAGTCTGGCGATGGTTCCAACAAGTTTTGCTGTTATGGTGGCTATTCTTTAAACAAAACCAAGATTCTGTTTTCTAAGGCTGGTAAGTTGGTTTCCATTCTTAGATTCTCTCGACGCGTTTATATAGGTGCTCCCAGCATTGTTCTGAGGGCATCATTTTGTGGCACTTCCAGTTCCTCCCATTGGTTATCACTGAGGAATGTAAGAGCAGGAGCAGCATAGTCAATGAATGACCTAACTGCTTGAACGCAGTACATTATTAGTACTGGTGAAGATGCAATATCTCCAAGACTTGTCAGGGAGCGCAAAGCTGAGTTTCTGGCTTTACAACGTTGCCGAAGATATTCAATTTCTTGAGTAAATTTCAACTGGTTGTCTATTATGACTCCTAGGTATTGAAAAAGAGTAACTCGCTCAATTTCATGTCCTTGTATTGTGAGTCAGATGTCTTGAGTTTTCATTTTAACGGCCATTGCTTTGGTTTTATTGCTGTTTATTTTCACTGCTATGCGTTCCGCTTCCCTGCTGATGATGCCCAGGTATTTTTGTGCATGGTTTCTGGCGGCTTTGCCATTAATGATGACCACAAAGTCGTCCGCATATGTAAACAGTTTGGCTTTTGGTATCTTGAGCTTCATGAATTGTTCCATGAGACAGTCGATGAAGAAGGGGCTTAGTATTCCTCCCTGTGGAGTCCCATTTTCCAGTCTCTTTGAGAAGCATGTTTTTCTTTGAAATTTGACTTTAGTTTCTCTGTTGAGCAGACTTTCTTTGGCAAAGGCAAGAGCGTATCCTTTGATTTCCTTATCCACAAGGCAGTACAGTGTAGCTGGAGCATTGGCTAGCTTGATTTTTTCAAGGTCCAAAAAAATAAGGATTTCTGGTTTGTCATTGATTTAATCAAGGAGGGAGGTAAGGCATTCTGGTTTTCAAACATCTTTTCTGTAAGCAAACATATTTTGGTGCAGTGGACTGGCTTTCCAGTAAATACGATTAAGAGCCATTCTTTCAGGAGTTTTGGCCAGACAGTTTGTTAATAAGATGGGTCTTGGATTTCCCGGGTCTTTGGGTTTTGGAATGGGAACTCTAATTGCACTGTTCCATGAGAGTGGTAGAGTTCTTGTCACCCAAACTTTATTGATGAGATTCAAGAAGGCTTCTTTACCCTTTTCTCCTAGCTTGGTCAGCATGTTGTAAATGGTTTTGTCTTCAACTGGAGCTGTGTTTTTGGTTTTCTTTGTAGCTCTTCTGATTTTATTTTCAGATTGAAAAGTTGGTCTAGTTTGTCAGACATCGTCTATTTTGGTCCATCTTGCCACTTGGATTTTTTATTAGTGAGTCAGAGGTGCCTGAGGAAGTTGAGTGGAACTGGCTCTTGAGGCAAATAAATTTGATAATCTTTCTCCTTGCTCTGGATGAACATGATGCGGCGGAGCAGGAGGTGATTTTCCTTTGGCCCTCTGCCTCCAGATGTCGCCTAAGGATGTATGCTGATTTAGCTTGGCACACCACTCGAACCATTTTTCTTTGAGTTTTGCCGTTTCTTCATGCACATGATTTCGGACAGCTCTATTAAGTTCCAGTTTAGCTTCGGTTTTGTCTCTTCTGAAATTCTTGTGTTCACAATTTACTCTGTTATGTAGTTCTTTGATCCTATCACAGTAATATCAATGGTCCTTGTGTTGTTGGGTAATTATTTTCTTCTTTGGGATGGCGTGATTTGCTGCTCTATGTATTGCATTTACTAATTCTTTTTCCATTTCTTCGGTGTTGTCAGGAGGAGTGTAGTTTTGAGAGATTCCTGAAACTTCGTCCAATCTGCTTTGATAAAGTCCCATCCGGGCTCGGGAGCTGGAGGTCTGGGAGGTAGTGCTATATTAATAACTTTATAGCAAAGTGGTCACTGGTCAGCACATGGTCAACTGACCAATGACACAACTCATAAATACTGGTGGAGACAAACGTGATGTCCAGCTTCCCCTGACCAATGTGGGTTGGTTCCGTCGAGTTAAGCAGACTGATTTCAGGCACTTCATCCAAAAGGTGTTCAATATGTCTTCCGTTGGCGTCGGTTCTTGGTGAATCAAGTAGTAATTCACTATGAGCGTTGAAGTCACCCAAGATGATAGTAAGTGTGGTGACTGTTATTTCAAAGATTGCAAAGAGAGCCATATCGTGTTCT